TTTGGTGTACTGGTTAAGGGTGCTGGCATGGAAATTAGGAGACTGTGAGTTCTAGTCCTCCCTTAGGATATGAAAACAACAAGCTGTATAACTTTGCACCAGTTATTCTCTCTCAGCCCAGCATACCTCACAGGATTGCTATTGTGGGGAAAATAGGAGGAAGGAGTATGAGATATGTTCACTGCCTTGATTTACTTATAAAATGATAAAGTCAGGATAAAATATAATAAATAAATAAATATCCTTCCCACTGGCAGATTCTTTTAAACCAAGCTACAATTCCTCCACCCTCTCTTATCTTCCAATCAGCAGCATGGCACAATTATTATGGCTCTTAGTTTGAAGCTTGCCGAGAACATCTTCAGCCAATCATTGTGCAACTTGTACAGGCCAATAACAGAGCATGGGGAATACCAGCCAATGAACACTCATTTTCCCTTTTTTAAATTTTCCCATTCTGATGCCTTACGGCTTCCCTTGTGTAAAGTTGTAATTGCAGGAATGTTCCAATCTCGGATGGCAAACCTCAGATAAAGAATGTTTCCAAGCAAATACAACTCAGGCAAACAAAGTCATTAATCTAAAGGAGGATTAGAGAGAGGAAGTAAACATATGTTAGACTTTAACTAGAGATAATTTATTGTATTAATTACTGTGCTAAACAGTAACCAAAGTTAAGCAGTAACCAAAGTTAACCAGTGATGGAGGATAACTAAAAATGTGTATAAATGCAAGACTAGACTCCAATAAAGATCATCATGATTCAGTTGTTCATGATCAAACAACTCGACTGCCTCGTAATTACAACACTCTTGGTCTCTTCATGGACAAATAATGCACTGGACAACATGTATTTGTGTTGCTTTGTAACTTCGAAGGGCAACCTTTATGCTAGGTGATTACAAAGGAAGATAGCTTATTTAAGTATTAGCAAATACAAAGACAAGCAGAAAACCACATATATATTTTTTAAAAATGTTTGTGAAAAGTTCTGAAATTAATCAAGAAATCTATGAGCAACATAACTAAAAAATGATTTTAGGGTTGAAGCTAAATTGTCATCCTTCTCATTTTTGCCAGCTTCAAAACATTGTTGTGAAGGGTTGTGGCTAAACTGCCAAAGTCACCATTCCTCCATTATTAAGGATCTTTCCATTTTCAAACATAGTTTCTTTACTAAAGGCAATTGTGCATTCAAACATATGCTAGACAAATTTTTAAAAGAGAATTGATTGCAACTCAATTCTAACCTCATTCGATTTTTGCATTCATACAGGATGTTAAGTCTAGATGTCCTGGTGTTTTTTTAATGGCCTATTGAACAAACCATAATGGTCTACTTTGCATATAATAATCATAATGAGTAAAACTATATACTGTAGTATTATGTATTATGCTAAGCAACTGGAAATAATTACAATGGTTTAACATGATGTGTGTATTAGGCCAATGTGCTAAATTTAATGTTGAATTTACTGAACAGATAAGGTCAAAGGAGGCATTTCATAATGCTTGGCAAGAGAGAAAGGCCCTTGGCTTTTGACTTTTTGGTGAGCATCTGATATTAAATCAGTTGGACATTCTGAGCACACTTTTTTCCTGAAAGTGCTTAACAGTTCTTGGGTATTGTTGTCCAGAAACATGTCCCATGCTGGCCAAATGTATTGGATTTCAATTCCTATTAGTCTTGATAGAAATCAGAGGAATTAATATTGAACTTGATAGTCAAAATGATGGAGGAGGAGGAGGAAGAGGAGAAGGAAGAAAAATCCTATAAAACTGCAGCCACCAGATATGTAAGAAGCAGAGCAGAATCTCACTTTCAGATGTAAGGAGATAGGAATTACAAGTAAGAAGAGTTATGGATGGTCTCTAAAGCAATTTTCTCTAAGGTGGTCTCCTCTAGATATGCTGAGTCTGCAACTCTTCCCCAAATGCCTGATCAAATGGCTAATGCACTAGATCATAAGAGCTAAGAAAGGTGCAAGCTCAGCTACTCATGTCTGCATCTCCTTGTTTGTGTAGTTTCGTCAGAATAATACTGTACCGAAATGCCTTTTTTCTAGGATGCTTGTTCAACTTTCCAGGCTAGTCTAGAGAGCTGATTAGTAGCACTCAGGCATTATCTGGCTTCAGTTCTGTGTATTACTCCAAGATAAGCTGCTAAACTTCAATTCCTGGTAGTCCCAATCAGTGTAACCAATGGTTAGGAACTCTGGGAGTTGTAGTCTCGGCTACATCTGAAAGTCTATAACTTCCTCGTCCTTGATGTCAATCTCTCTAGGTCTTTGGTTGTTTAACCTATTGGAACAGGAGGATTTGGGGCTAATTCTTGCAAATTGCAGAGAATTTGGAAGTCTCTACTGCAGCTGGACACGTCTTCTCCAGCATGGTGGAAACTGGGCACCCATTATAATAAAGCATGATGTCAGTGCTGGCTGCCAGAAGGAGAGAGTCCACTTCAGGGCAAGGCAGCACAAAGAGGCTACTCTCCTCTTGGCCATCCCATCCTCCTCCTCCTCCTCCTCAGTTAAACAAACTGGTGAAGAAAACACCAAGGCCTCTTGTTGTGAGATGGCAAGGCTCAAAAATACACAGGTGCTAACGATGATTGTATTGGCTATTGTTGTCAGGGTGATACTGACTGGGTCTTCCCTACTGATCAGAAGAAAATACATTATATGACAATTGCTACAGAACATCATAAGCAGAGTAGCTCAGTAGTAAGGGGAGGAGGACACATGGGGACAATCGTCTTCAGAATTTGGTGCTAACAAAATGCAATTGACATCTTTCGGTTCCTGAAAAATGACAACTCCTCTCAATTTGGTAGCTGCTTTCAATTTGGCAATTGTGTGAATTAGCCAACCCCATGGTGATCCTCAACTGTCATCCTTGGTCATTTTTCCAGTATAGGTAATCCTCAACTTACAACCACAATAGAGCCCAACATTTCTGTTGCTAAGTGAAACAGTTGTTAAGTAAGTTTTTCCCCATTTTGCAACCTTTCTTAACAGTTGTTAAATGAATCACTGCAGTTGTTAAATCAGTAACACAATTGTTAAGTGAATCTGGCTTCCCCACTGACTTTGCTTGTCATATTTATAAGCCTGCAGGTGTCATAAATATGAGCCAGTTGCCAAGGGTTTTGAATTTTTGATCATGTGACCATGGGGATTCTGCAACAGTTGTAAGTGTGAAAAATGGTCACAAGTCACTATTTTCAGTGTCATTGTAACTTTGAACGGTCATTAAATGAATGCCACATAGCAGCAGTGGTTAGAATGCAGTATTGCAGGCTACAGTAACTCTGCCATCTGCCAGCTGTTCAGTCTTGACTGACTCAGAGTTGACTCAGCCTTCCATCCTTCTTAGGTTGGTAAAAAGAGGACTCAGATTGTTGAGGGCAATATGTTGACTCTGTAAACTGCGACAACTACCTGTATTCCAAAAAAATACTTCGCAAAAAATGGATGGACTCTTGCATCACCCTTAACCATTTTGTCTGAAATGGTATAGGGCCGTGATGGCAAACCTATGGCACACGTGCCACAGGTGGCACACAGAGCCATTTGTGACAGCACGCGAGCTACAGACAAACTTACCTCACTGCGCATGTGCGTGCCTCACAGCTGATTTTCGGCAGGTTTGAGGCCTTTTCGACCTCCCAAAGGCTTGAGGAAGGCTTCTGCAGGCTTTGCAGGCTAAAAAACTACCCTGTTTCATCACTTCCTGTTTTTCCGAAAATACCAGAAGTGATGAAACGGGGCTAGTTTTCGGCCTGCAAAGCCTGCAGAAGCCTGCAGAAGCCTTCTTCAAGCCTTTGGGAGGCCAGAAAAGGCCTCAAACCCACCAAAAATAAGCTGTGAGGTGCAGTGCAGGTAAGGGGGGTGAGGGTGGGTGGGGATTGCACGCGCATGCATAGGGGGCATGAGGGGGCGCATTGCCTTCTGGGTGCTGGCACGCAAGCATGAGCATGCAAGTGCACACACAATTTTTAGCACAGGAGCTCAAAAAGGTTAGCCACCACTGGTATAGGGTTTCCTGCCTGAGGAGGGGGTTGGACTAGAAGACCTCCAAGGTCTCTTCTAACTCTGTTATTCTATTCTGTTTGTCTAACCAGCTCAGGGAAGGACTTAGCAGCAGGGGTGGGATTCTACCAGTTTGCACCTCTTCGCTAGAACCAGTTGTTAACATTCTAAGCAGTTCGGAGAACCGGTTGTTAGAAGAAATTACTGGGCTAATCCTGTAAGGAAGGCAGGAAGGAAACATTCTGGTGTTGCTTAAAGAAACTGCCTCTCCGTTAACCCTTATTACATTCTTGGCAGGACTAGACTTCCTGTCTCTGGAACTTCTCTGGAGGTTTTTTTTCCTCCTTTGCTGGTACTTTGCTTGTGTGGAGTGACCATTCAAAATTACAATGGCACTGAAAAAAGTGACTTATGACTATTTTTCACATTTACGATTGTTGCAGCATCCCCACAGTCATGAGAGGCGAGGCGAGGAGATGCGTGCTTCAATGTGAGTGAAGTTGAGTTGGCCATGCCCAGCCAGTCACATGATCACCAAGCCATGTCCACCCAGTCACATGACCACTAAAGTTACTAAACCATACCCACCACCTTAGCCATGCTCACAGAACTGGTTGTTAAAATTTTTGAATCCCACTCCTGCTTAGCAGATGCATTCACACAACATCTTAAGTTCCATTCATGTTAACATCCATTAGATTTGTTGAGGTTTAGAGTGAATTAGGCAGACCAGTGCCATTTGGGTAACATATGATGCAATATATTGTATAAATACAGATGTTCAAAACAGGTTAATTTAACATGTTTGAATGCAACCTTCACTGAGAGGCTGGCTCTGTCCCAGGTTAGTGTGATGATAACTATGATTCTGAGGTCAAGTACAGCTTTGTGGATCTTTCACTGGAAAGCATGCTAGGTTAGAGTTTGATTAGCACCCGAAGAAGTGAATTGAGACATGGGGAGCCTTACCCAAGAGGATTAAAAGGATTCCTCCCATTTGAGAACGCCGATACTTGGCCACTCCAGGTTCATGGCCCATCCGAATGCAAGGCAAAACAGTCACCAGGAGGAAAACAGCTGGGAGTCCCAAAACTGTGGCAGCAATCATCAGGGCCCGACATGCCTGGACGTACCCTGTAGGAAGAAAGACTTCAGAATTTGCAAACCTACAATATTCAAGGGTGCGCCGCAGTGGCACAGTGGTTAGAGTGCAGTACTGCAGGCTATTTCTGCTGACTGCTGGCTGCCAGCAGTTTGGCAGTTCAAATCTCACGAGCTCAAGGTTGGCTCAGCCTTCCATCCTTCCGAAGTGGGTAAAATCAGGCCCCAAATTGTTGGGGCAAATGCTGACTCTGTACACTGCTTAGAGAAAGCTGTAAAGCACTGTGAAGCGGTATATAAATTTAAATGTATTGCTATTGCTAAATAACAGGGTTCTCCTACACCCGTGATGGCAAACCTATGGCACACGTGCCACAGGTGGCACGCAGAGCCATTTGTGCCGGCACACGAGCTGCAGACAAACTTACCTCACTGCGCATGTGCGTGCCTCACAGCTGATTTTCGGCGGGTTTGAGGCCTTTTCGACCTCCCAAAGGCTTGAGGAAGGCTTCTGCAGGCTTTGCAGGCTGAAAACTAGCCTCATTTCATCACTTCCTGTTTTTCCGAAAATACCAGAAGTGATGAAATGGCTCTAGTTTTCGGCCTGCAAAGCCTGCAGAAGCCTGCAGAAGCCTTCCTCAAGCCTTTGGGAGGCCGAAAAAGGCCTCAAACCTGCCAAAAATCAGGTGTGAGGTGCAGTGCAGGTAAGGGGACGGCAGGGGGTGGGGGGTGGGTTGGGGATTGCGCACGCATGCATAGGGGGCGTGGGGGGAGCATTGCCTTATGGGTGCTGGCATGAGAGCACGAGCAAGCAAGCAAGCAAGCAAGCACACTATTTTTGGCACAGGAGCTCCAAAAGGTTAGCCACTACTGTCCTACACTGTTGCAACTAAACTAAAGGCCTTTCCCAGAGGGGAAAAAATCCATTTGCATGACTGAGAATGTCCATCTGCATTTCCTCACAGCAAGATCTCTAAAAGCAGTGGTGGACAACTTTTTTTCCAGAGAGGAAAGGATAGTACCTTCTCTTCCAAAGGCTGCCCAGATGACATAACAAGAGGAAGCAGGGTCCACAATTTTGATCTGGTGGGTTGTTGTTTTTTCCTATTGCTGTGGTGTTGGCAAATGTACTGGCTTGTTTACTTTATTTCAAACTTTCCAGAAAGTGGATAACAGCTATTTAAATCATTGTCTTCCTGATTATCAACTTTTAGGATTTGGAGGCGAATTAAAACTCAACAGGAATGTCCACCCCAGCCACAAAGTCAGGTATATGTACAATGCTCTATAGCCTCTAAGCATGCCAGAGACTTTCTAAAAGGGAGAGTTGGAAACTTCATTTCTTGGAATGAGGCTGACAAGCAGATTGAAACTAAGCAACTCAACATAATAATCTCCAAGACTAAAAAAAAATGTAGCCAAAAGTGAGGTAAGAATGCTTAAGATTCCTTTGAGCTCACAAACAGTAAATCAAGTTCTAAGAATAATAAATGTTATTTATTTATTTAATTTGTCAATAGCTTACAAGATGATAAACATAAGTATAAATACAGGAAATGGGTACGAATAATTGGGGACAATAGGACAGGGACGGTAGGCCCGATTGTGCAGTTATGCACACCTCTTGCATACATCTAAGAATGGGGTGAGGTCAATAATGGTTAGTTTGAGGGAAAAGGAGTGTGGGTTTGGGAATGTGACAACAGAGTCTGGTAGTGCATTCCAGGCATTGACCACTCTGTTGCTGAAGTTGTACTTTCTGCAATCAAGTTTGGAGTGGTGTACATTAAGTTTATATCTGTTGTGTGCTCTTGTATTGTTGCAGTTGAAGGTGAAAAGTCATTGATTGTTGGTACAGTAAAGCAGATTATTTTATAAACTATGCTTAAGTCAAACTATAGGCGGCATTGTTCTAGGTTGTCCAAGTTCAAAATCTCAAGCCTGGTAGTGCAGGGTATTCTGTTGCGAAAAGAGGAGTGTAGTACTCTTCTTGTGAAATACTTCTGGACACGCTCAATTGAATTAATGTCTGATATACACCATGGATTCCAGACAGCTGAATTGTATTCAAGTATTGGTCTAGCAAAGGTTTTGTATGCCCTAGTTAGTAATTCAGTATTACCAGAGGAGAAGCTTCTTAAGATTAGATTTACAACTCTTGAAGCTTTTTTGGCAATGCTGTTGCAATGAGCTCTTGCGCTTAGGTTGTTAGATATGAGTACTCCAAGGTCCTTGACATTGTAGGGGATCGGTTTTTGTCTTCTTCCAACCACAACTACAACTTCTTCCAAATGAACACAACAGAGCGCAAAACTTCCATGGCTAAGCAAAACAGTTGTTAACAGAGTTGCACCCCGTTTTATGATCTTTTTGCCACAGTTGTTCAGGGAATCACTGTTAACTTAGTATCATGGTTATTAAGTGAACCTGGATTCCCCAGTTGACTTCGCTTGTAAGAAGCCAGCCGGGGAAGGTCGCAAAAGGTGATCACATGACCCTGGGACAATGCAAGTGTCAAAAATATATGCTAGTTGACAAGCATCCAACTTTTGATCGTGAGACCAAATGGGGATGCCATAACAGTTGCAAGCATGAAAACCAGTCATAAGTCTCTTTTTTCAGTGTTTTTGTCACTTTGAACAATCACTAAACAAACGGTTGTAAGTCAAAGACTACCTGTACCATGTTCCTATCACTTGCAGAATCTGAGCAGAGTTTGCCTGCCTGTAGGAAGAATTACAACTCCAGAAAATAACAGTAAATCATCTTCAAAGTTACGAACGGAATGAGAGAGTTTGATGACTGCAACTTCCTAGTGACATCAGGTTTAAACAAAATAATGCCACAGAGAGAGGAGGGGGTCATCTGAAGGCCAGACAAGGAATAATGGATGGAATCTAATCAGGAGAGATTCAACTTGGAAATAAGGAGAAATTTTCTGACAGTGAGAACAATCAACCAATGGAACAGCTTGTCTTTGGAAGTTGTGGGAGCTTCATTACTGGAAGCTTTCAAGAAGAAACTGGACTGCCATCTGTCAGAAATGGTGGAGGGGTTGGACTAGATGTCCGACAAAGTCCCTTCCAACTCTGTTAATTTGTATTTAAAATATGGGAGAAGTGTTCTGGAGCTAGAATGAGGAGATCTAGATTGAAATTTGCACTTGCCCATAGAACAATTGGAAGACTTGGGGTCAATCTCAGTCTCTTCCTCTAGCCTACCTCACAAGGTTGATGGAAGAATGTAGCCTAGGGGACGAAAAGAATATGCTCTTTGAGTTCCTGAATGAAAAATAACACTAAATAATTATGAATGAATGCGAATATAGGTGTCTCAGGATAATGTCACAGGATCCAATCTGAGTCGGTCACCGGGACCAGAGGTTTTGCCTTCCAAGCTTTCAGACTCATGCTGGACCCCATCTTTAGGGAAATTCTGTAGAGAGGGGGGCGTAGAGAGAAATTCCCTGAAGATGGGGTCCAGCACTGGTCCAAAAGCTTGAAAGACAAAACCTCCGACAGACTGGATGCTGCAATAAATAATTAATTGTAGAGGTTTGAAGATATGAGATTCACAATCATGCACATCAGAATAACTCCAGGTTAGAGAAAACTGGTATCAGATATGAGATTCACAATCATGCACAACAGAATAACTCCAGGTTAGAGAAAACTGGAGAATTAGAAGTATGAAACTGGTGTAGAACTGAGCCATGCATTAAACAGCCTGGGACTATAGAGAATCTTCCAAAGAGGAATAACCTATAGTTTGAGTTTACGCTGTCTGCTCATGATGTTATGTTGCTAAAAGTGAGCAGAATTCCAGCTTGCAAGTTCTACTTTATTGGGGACTTTAAAATTTTAATCAAAGTATTTGTATTCCAACCTTAAAATCCATTACTTGAAATCTGCTGCAAAAGATTAACCGTCAATTTAGCATTTAAAACACCTCAGCCTGGAAATATATTCACAGGGACAAAATTGAATAAATTTTACAGTCCTTCTACGCTAATGTTCCCTGGGGTTTTTAGAATTTCAGATGGATAGGAATTGGAATTCATTTATTGAAGTTACTGCAAAGTATGCAGAAAATATGAATATATATCTCAGCCAGCTCTTTTCTAACAATTGGAATAATATAGTTCCTGAAAGGGACATTTCCTACTTCGGTTTTCATGTTATGCTTGAATTTATAGATAGTTGCAGACTAATCATGCTGTTAGTTAAATCAGTCACGCACATAAGAAAAGCAAAATATTACATCAACTTTTCTGGATCGACTGTCTGTTCCTCCATCCTATTTAATAGCTGTTAACTCAGTCTAGAAACCCTTTATCATCTATCAACCTTCATCAGATAATATTCAGATGTACCTCTGAATTAGGAGATTACATATAAACTGGTCATTAACAAACTTGTCCTCCCTGGAGCCCTCTAACTTGCTGGTCATTTCTATCCAGTGGCAGGGAGTTCCATAAGTCCATTAAGCAACATATACAGTAAAAGTCTATTTCCATTGGTCCTGAAACTCATACCAATCAAACTGGTGCTCATAATGCTACAATGAAATAAAATGAAATTAGACTAAAAATCCTAAAATCTGGAAAAGAGGAGGAACATCTTAAACAAATGTTTAATATTGATTGATAATGACTAATTGAGAAATATATAAAGGCTATTTATTAATAATAATGCCAATTATCATGCAAACCCTGTGTTTAGTTCTTTGTTATCAGAAAAATACATCCTTCCTGGAGAAGTGATTCTTGTGAAGTCTAATAGCACAGAGAGCCACAAAAAAACCCTCATTTTTTTGACATGGTGATTCTAAAAGATATCTTCCCTGATAGCACAAACTTCCCACACTGGAATAACAAAATTCAGCTGTTACTATTTGTATAGCTTTGTATTTTACACCATACAGTGTGGAAAATATTTTCATTGTCTCCATTCCCACACAAAGTCACTCAAGCTAATCCACCAATAAGGAAGAGCTCAGTGATACAGACCAGATGGTATATTAGATTTCATTCCAGGCTAGGAAAGACCTGCCCAGTATTATAAACAGGATTTACCAGGTAGCCCCTAAGCCCAACCTATTTTAAGACAAATGCCAAAGCATCTGTGAGTCCCATTTTGCTGATGTTTCAAAAGAGACCCCAAGATGTGGAACATCCAGAGTCACACAAATTTCAGTGGTAATTCCTAGGAAATTCAGGGCTGGCTGCAGACAGACCTTTAAAAAATGACCTCATGCCAACTGATCACAGTGACTGGAAGTCAGGTGGAAAGTAAATTTTAAAAATTATTACTTTTACCCTGACTTTTGTTCTGCCCCTTTCGAATGTTTCCATTTGCCAGAAATTAAGATATTATGATCTGAGCATGTGCATATAATAATTGTGGTGGCAATACCAGAAGACAAAGAATTGGAGAAGATCAAAAAGTATCAAGATCTGAAAATCAAAACTGAAAAGATTAAAGCAGCTATGGTGGTCTGGCACACTGCATCCCATACTAAAAAAAATCTTGGATGGCACTTAGAAAATCTCCGCATTGATATGTTTTCCATCTCTCAGTTGAAAAAGGCTGCACTGCTCAGATGCATATATATATCATCAGAAGCCTGATGATGGCAGATGAGATTCTGCTGAAACGTTGCTACAACTTTAAAAGAACTACAATGACGTGGGAAAATACCCGAACCAAGCCGAACACCATACATGTAAGTACCCGCGAAAACTTAAGAAAACATATATATATATATATATATATATATATATATATATACACACACACACACACACACACACACACACTACATCAATACATTATGATGTCCTTGGTTCTTGGGAAGAATTCAGTGTGTAGTATTCCTCAATTGCAGGAATTGGGTATGAGTAGTCTAGTGAAAAGAAGGACTGGGGTGACATGATAGCAGTTTTCCAATATCCGAGGGACTGCCACAAACAAGATGGGGTCAACCTATGCTCACGAGCTTCTCACCTGAAGGGAGGACAAGAAGCAATAGATGGAAATGAATCAAAGAGAGAACCAACCTAGAACTAAGGAGAAATTTCCTGACAATTAGAACAATTAATCAATGGAACAGCTTGGCTCCAGAAGCTGTGGATGCTCCATCACTGGAGGTTCTTAAAAAAAGATTGGACAACCATTTGTGTGGAATGGTAGGGTTTCTTCGTGACAGGGGTTGGACTAGAAGACCTCCAAGGTTCCTTCAACAGGGTTCCCACTCTGTTATTCTGTATTCTATATGAAGGCAAAACCAGCTAAAGAACTGGTAGCTGTGACTTCATATTGTTGTGGACAGATAGTAGTAGTAGTAGTAGTAGTAGTAGTAGTAGTAGTAGTAATAATAATAATAGAAGAAGAAGAAGAAGAAGAAGAAGAAGAAGAAGAAGAAGAAGAAG